TTTCGTGGACGCGCTTTCAAACGTTTTGGGGGCCTCTAGGGCCGTCTGGAGGCAATCTTCGGCGATTCGGAGCGAATCGTCCCCCGCGTGGGCCGTTTGGGCAGCCTTTCGGGACCCTGTTGGCTCGTTGTGGAGCCCTTTTGGGACCGTAATGCGGCTCTCCCGGGCCGGTGCGAAGGTTTCTGGGGCCTTCGTGGATCGCCTGGAGGCCGTCGTGGATCCTTTGTGGAAGCTTCGTGGGCTGCGGAAGGTCCTCCTGCTCCTCCTCCTCCTCCTCCTCCTCCTCCTCCTCCTCCTCCTCCTCCTCCTCCTCCTCTTCCTCCTCCTCCTCCTCCTCCTCCTCCTCCTTCTCAGACAAGACTTAGTCGTTGCCTCACTCACTCCTCCTCCTCCTCCTTCTCCTCCTCCTCCTCCACAGACCTTTAAGAAGCCCCAAAAGGCACCAAAGAGGCCCCCAAAGGGGCTCAAAAAGGGCCGCAATAGGACCCCCAAGAAGGCTCACAGAAGCCAAATAAAGAGCGATCGGTAACGCAAAATGCTCTTCACACCGAGGCTGCCAAGAGCGAACTGTGACGTAAACAAGCTGATGCGACCAAGGCTCCCAGCAGGGAACGATGACGTAACAAGTTCCTGACACCAAGGCCCAGCCAAGGCTCAGGAACGGACGGCAACGCAACAATCTCTGAACACCAAGGCTCCCAAGAGCGCGGGGTGACGTAACAAGCTCTCAACGCCAAGGTTCCCAGTACGAACGGTGGTGTGAGTAATTTCTGTCAAGTTGTTGAAGCGCTCTTTCCGTTTCAGTGCCGGCCCAGGTGACGGAAAGAGCGAGGTACGAGTGAGTTCCGTTGAGTTGGGGCGAAGCCCTTAAGGGGGGGGTCCAGGGGGGGGCGGGCGAGGCGCGGGGGGGGGGTCTAATGGTCCTATTTTGGAGGTTTCCCCTAGGGTTTTTGTATGTTTTTCGGATTCTCCGTCCAGACGGCCGAAGAGCGCTCCAAGAGAGCCCAAGACCGCCCAAAACGGCCAAAGAGGCCCCCAAGGGGCGTCCCAAGAGGGCCCCAAGAGGCCAAAATCATTGATTTTCCCGAGGCAAACGTATATTTTTAGCATCTACGGCTTTTCGCCTTTCACGGCGTTGACGACGGCCCAAGAGGCCCCCAAGACCGCCACAAAACGGCCCAAGAGGCTCCCAAGAAGCCCCCAAAAACTGCCCAAGAGGGCCCCCAGGCGGCCCAAGAGGCGCCCAAGACGGCCCAAGAGGGCCCCCAGACGGCCCCAAGAGGGGGACCACGAACCGAAAAGTCCAGCCTATCGCCCCAAGACGCTCCCGGGAGGCCTTCACAGCCCCCAAAGAAGCCCCGAGAGACCCCCAAGAGGCGTCCGACGAGGCCATCAGGTGGCCAAAATCATTGATTCCCAATGGGGAAAGCGTACATTTTTAGCATACACGGCTTTTCGGCTTCCACGGCGTTGAAGACGGTCCAAGAGGCCCCCAAGACCGCCCCCAGACGGCCCCAGAGGCTCCCAAGAGGCCCCCAAAATTGCCCAAGAGGGCGCCAAGACAGCCCAAGAGGCGCCCAAGAGGGCCAAAGAGGGCCCCAAGACGGCCCCAGAAGGGGGACCACGAACCCGAAAGTCCAGCCTTTCGCCCCAAGACGCTCCCAGGAGGCCCCCACAGCCCCCCAAGAAGCCCCAAGAGGCACCCAAAGGGGCTCAAAAAGAGCCGCAATTGGACTCCCAAGAAGGCTCACAGAAGCCAAATAAAGAGCGATCGGTAATGCAAAAGCTCTTCACACCAAGGCTCCCAAGAGCGAACGGTGACGTACATAAGCTGATAAGACCCAGGCTCCCAGCAGGGAGCGATGACGTAACAAGTTCTTGACACCAGGGCCCAGCCAAGGCTCAGGAACGGGCGGCAACGCAACAATCTCTGAAGGCTCCCAAGAGCGCGGGGTGACGTAACAAGCTCTCAACGCCAAGGCTCCCAGTACGAACGGTGGTGTGAGTAATTTCGGTCAAGTTGTTGACGCGCTCTTTCCGTTTCCGTGCCGACCCAGGTCAAATGGTTCAATTTTAGTTGGGATCTGTTCGGCCCAAGTCAGCCCCAGGAACGCCCAAGAGGCTTCCATGACGTCCCAAGACGCTCCCCAGACGCCTTCACATACATAACGGAAAGAGCGAGGTACGAGCGAGGACGTTCTGGTGTGGGCGAAGCCCTTTAAGGGGGGTTCCAGGGGGGTGCGTAGCGCGGACGTTTGGGCTCTAATGGCCGTTTTGGGGGTTTTCCCTAGGGTTTTTGTAGTATGTTCTTCGGGTTTCACTTATGTTCCGTCCCAGAAGAGCCCAAGACCGCCCAAGACAGGCCCAAGACGTCCCAAGAGGCCCCCAAGAGGCCCCCCCAAGGGGCGCCCCAAGAGGGCCCCAAGAGGCCAAAATCATTGATTTTCCCAAGGAAAACGTAGATTTTTAGCATCTACGGCTTTTCGCCTTTCACGGCGTTGACGACGGCCCAAGAGGCTCCCAAGACCGCCCCAAGACGGCCCACGAGGCTCCCAAGAGGCCCCCAAAACGGCCCAAGAGGGCTCCCAGACGGCCCAAGAGGCGCCCAAGACGGCCCAAGAGGACCCCAAGACGGCCCCAAGAGGGGGACCACGAACCGACAAGTCTAGCCTATCGCCCCAAGACGCTCCCGGGAGGCTCCCACAGCCCCCCAAGAAGCCCCAAGAGGCCCCCAGGACGCGTCCCACGAGGGCATCAGGAGGCCAAAATCATTGATTTCCAATGGGGAAACGTACATTTTGAGTATACACGGCTTTTCGGCTTCCACGGCGTCGAAGACGGTCCAAGAGGCCCCCAAGACCGCCCCAAGACGGCCCAAGAGGCTCCCAAGACCGCCCCAGAACGGCCCAAGAGGACACCAAGACGGCCCAAGAGGCGCCCAAGACGGCCCAAGAGGGCCCCAAGACGGCTCCAAGAGGGGGACCACGAACCCGAAAGTTTAGTCTTTCGCCCCAAGACGCTCCCGGGAGGCCCCCACACACCCCCAAGAAGCCCCAAGAGGCCCCCAAGAGGCCACCAGGAGGGCTCTACAAGGGCCCCAATAGGACTCCCACGAAGGCCCAGAAACGCCAGATAAAGAGCGATCGGTAATGCAAAAAGCTCTTCACACCAAGGCTCCCAAGAGCGAACGGTGACGTACATAAGCTGATAAGACCCAGGCTCCCAGCAGGGAGCGATGACGTAACAAGTTCTTGACACCAGGGCCCAGCCAAGGCTCAGGAACGGGCGGCAACGCAACCATCTCTGAACCCCAAGGCTCCCAAGAGCGCGGGGTGACGTAACAAGCTCTCAACGTCAAGGCTCCCAGTACGAACGGTGGTGTGAGTCATTTCGGCTTCTGTTGCTGCAGCGCTCTTTCCGTTTCCGTGCCGGCCCAGGTCCACGACGGCCTCCGGGAGTCTCACGAGGGCTCGAAGACGGCCCAAGAGCGCTCCACGAGGGCCCCCAGATGGTCTCAGGGCGGCCAAAGAGGTCCTCGAGGCCCCCCAGAGGAGTTGCAAAAGGCGAAAATCGTCCCATTCCCTCAGGCAAACGTACATTATTCACAGCTTCGCAGAGTCCAAGACGGCCCCAGAGGCCTCGAAGACCGCCCCAAGACGGCCCAAGAGGCCCCCGTGACGGCCCCAAGATTGCCCAAGTGAGCTTCAAGACGGCCCAAGAGTGCCCCAAACCGGCCCAAGAGAGGCCCCTGAGGGTCCCAAAAGGTTCCGAAGAGAGCCCCAAGAGGGCCATAGGAGGTCCCCGAGAGGGTCCCGGAGTGCCCCGAGAGGGCCCCAAGACGGCCCTAGCCCCCCAAGACGGCCCAGGAGGGCCCCAAGACGGCCAAAGAGGGTTCTAATACGGCCCAAAGGAACCCCAAGAGGACCCCCAGAACGGCCCGGAAATGCCATCCCAGTGCCAAGGAGGTCGAATAGCCTTCGGCCCATCCTGCCACTGTGCCTGGGTTGTGGGTAAGAGTCCTTTTGGACGTTCATTGGGATCTCGTGGGGGGCCTCTCGGGGGCCTCTTGGAGACAGTTGTTGGGCCACTTGGGTGCCTCTTTTAGGCCTGTTAGGGGCCTCTTGGGGCTTCTTTGGGGCCTCGTGGGGCCTCTTGGGGCCTTCTGGGGGTCTCTTGGGGAGGAATGCTTGGGTTTTCGGTTCGCGTTCCATCTCTGAAACCCCTTTGGGGGCCGTCTTGGGACCCTCTTGGGCCGTCCTTGGCGCCTATTGAGCCCTCTTCGGGCCCTCGTAGGCCGTCTTGGGGCCCTCTTAGAGGTTTCTTGGGGTGGTCTTGGGGGCCTTTTGAACCGTCTTTGAGCAGTAGGAAGACCAATGATGTTTGTCCCTTGGGACCCGAAAGGAACTCGCGAAGCCCCCTCCCCGAAGCGGCGCTCGCCGAGGCGAGGTCGCCCAATGTTTGCACCTACTGCTCGATCCATGTTGCTTACAGCATTTCCCACAGATGCTGTAAGGAGTCGCCTGTCTGGCTGATGTGGTGAAGCCGTGGAGGTCAACAACAACTCTTGGACCATCTTGATGCCATCTTGGGCGTCTTGGAACGATCTTTCGGCGCCTCGGAGCCCTCTTGGACCGTCTTGGGGGCCTCGTGGGGCCCTCTGGCCCGTCCTGAGGCCCGTCATGCGGGGAGACGCGACTTGCCCCAGGAGATTTCGCAGTTGGGGTTCCGGGCCCCCTGAGTGAGGAGCGAGGAGTGACTCCTCAGCAGTGAGGACTGAGGCTCAGGGGATTGGACAAGGGACCTGAGGACACGTCCATTCCGTGCCCGTCCACCCCTCCCTCCTTCCCTCCGCCTCTTTTCTCCACCCTCCAATTCGCGCTCGGGGATCACGGACATTCTGTATCAAAGGTGGCCTTCTTCCTCCCCCCCCGTCATGCCCCTCCTTCTCCCGAGAGAGAGAGAGGGGCAACTTCGTGGTGGATTTCCTGCGCCCGCAGGAGTGCTGGCACGGTGGCTACACGCACGAGCGTTGCTGCCTCGGCGGTGGCGAGGGTGGCAGCGCGGTCGGCGCAGAAAAGCATCTGCTCTTGCGCATGTGAAGCGTTGGGCGCTTAAGAACCAAAGTGCACGTTGCATACACAGGTGTTGGCGGGCATCCGCGCGGATTTCTTAAGTTGGCGTTGCATACGCGCACACGCACCCTGGCGCGTTTCGCGTGCCAGGACAGAGTAGTCAAGCGACGGCCCAGGAATGTTGCGAGGAGTCCTGAACGTTCATGTGCATACTTGTATTTGCTCTTCGACTCAGGGCTTGCATTGATTGGTCCGCCACATGAATCATAAGCATATACACGCCTCTCCCTTCCTCGTCGTCATCCTCCTCTTTCCTGCTCGTCTTCTTCGTCGCTCCCCTCAACATGCCCCTCCGCACAACGAGGATGGAGGTGATGGGGGTACTTGTTGTGGGGTAGGCTCCAGGGCGCTCAGGGGGCGGGTGATGTAGCCCAAATATTCCAGGGAGAGGAGGAGTAGGGAATGAAAAGGAACACGATGAGCATGTGGCGAAAGATGGGTGGAGAAGGAGAGAGGAGGGTACGCGGCGGGTAGGATGGGGGGTGAGAGGAGGAGGAGGAGGAGGAGGAGGAGGAGGAGGAGGAGACGGAGATGGGGGGATGGGGGAGGCGGAAGAAAGAAGAGACCGAGGTGGATGGGAGAGGAAGGGGAGGGGGGAGGAGGAGGAGGAGGAGGAGGAGGAGGAGGAGGAGGAGGAGGAAGGAGGAGGAGGAGGAGGAGGAGGAGGACGGGTGGTGCCCACAGCTTTACATTAGTGGCCCGATCATCCATCTGTTCGATGTGGGCAAGTTCAGGGCAGGCGCTGACGGCAAATATTGTAGACTTGCGCAGCATTGCGGCCGAGTGCGGCAACCGTCACTTATAGTTGCGTCATATCGAGTCGGTATGCATGACGAAAGTTTTAAAAAGGACGACACGGTCCATGCAAAGTGAGACCGTTTTTGATCCATCCAAGGGATAACACATGTTACCCCCCCTTGTCCCCCCCCCTCGCCCGTAACGGTAATGCCCCGGCCCGGTCCAGAGCGCGATCCAAGGCAGTTTAGGGCTTGTGGTGCGCGCGGGCACTATGGTGCCGCGGTGCACGCGGCCGTGCACTATGGTGTACGCAGGCACTGCGGTGTACACCGGCGTTGTGGCGCACACAATTGTCGTTGAAGCAGCAGTTGTGATGTCCCCAGGCATAGTGGTGGGTGTACGCAAGCATTGTGGTTTACCCATGACAAGCCCTGTGGTGTCCACAGGCGCCGTGGTGTACACAATCGCTGCAGTGCGCAAAGTCGCTATGATGTACAAGTGCATTGTGGGCTATGATGTACCCACGCATGTCTTCCTTCCCCTTCCTCCTCCTCCCTCTTCATTTTCGTCCTCGTCGTCGTCGTCCTCCTTGCGCATACAGGACGCAGGCATTGTTGTGTACACAAGCATTGTGGTGCACACCGGCCTTGTGGTGCATACAGGCGTTGTGTTTCACATTCGCTGTGGGCTCAAAATGTCCGAGCGATCCTCGGGCAAGAAAAACCTAGGAATCACAATCAGATGACCGATTTGGATATGATACATTCGGGCCCCCAGCGATTCCCTAGACTTTGGCTCCGTCGGGGCCGTAAAGTTTGTGGTAACCGACCGCGGGCGATGATAAAGTACATCCCCCCGTTCAATCCCTCTAATTTTTTATCCCCGATCACAGGGATCTATCTGTGGGGAAGGCGCGGAGGCCGAACTTTCTAATCCACGGAAGAGTTGCGGGGATCGAAGTTGTTATCATATCATGTTGATTAGCAACAGCATCAAAACGCTGAGCATGGCCATGGTGGTCTCACCACACCAGCTTCCGCAATCACGAGCGTGTGGCAGGGCTGTGGGGTTCTCACCAGTTCAGTTTGCCCACGTTACGACCGTGCGGCAGGGCCATGGGATTATCATTTTCTTAGCCGTTCCCGAGTCAGGCTTCTGTCGTGGGCCTGGTTTAACCTCCTCCTCCCCCTCCATCATCGTCGTCATCATCATCTTCATGGTTAACTTATCTTCCCCGGGGAAGTCCTTCATTATCCCGGCGGGAACCGCGAACTTTATTATCCCAGGGGGGCTGTTATCGCCCGCGGTCGGTGAAACGCAGGTACTGTGGTGCACACGGGGAGGTGCTGAATCAGCAGGTGTGGTGTCAACAATCACAGGCGTTGCGGTGCAGACGGCTGCTGTGGTGTACACAGGCATTGCGGTGTACACAGGCGCTCCGATGCAAACGAGTCATGCTGCCACCACGGTCCCCACAGTGGGTGCCGGAGGGAATTGCCGAGTCGATTGCGAGGACAGTCGTTGCCGTGGCGTTGCTCATCCTTTCTCTCCTCCACCTGTTTCTCACTCATCCTCCTTTTCTTCCTCGTCCTGCTTCATCCCTGCCCATTCCCACCCCACCGCCCCTGACCAAACACAAAATGTGTCGGACAGCCTGTGCTGTGCTGGATGATGGTGTTCATCTTGGGGGCGCTCTTGGAAAAAGAGCGCGGGCCCCGAGCTGTCGACCCCACATTGTTTGTTTGTTGTTCCTCCAGCTCCTCCTGCTGGTAATGCTGTTCCTCCTGCTTCTCCTGCTGCTGACACCGCCACGCGCGCCCCCAAGCCGCGTGGTGTTCACAGGCACCGCGGTGCGCGTTGTTGCCATGACGTGCACAGTCGATATGGTGTACACAGGCGCTGTGGGCCCAAAGTGTCCGACTTTTCCCCGGGTCAGGAAAAAACAGCGAATCACAATCAGCTCACATGTTGAATTTGGGACGTTTGGTACCTTCGGGTGTACACGAGCTTTGTGGTGTACGCAGTTACTGTGGTGCACGCGGGGGGGGGGGGCTGAAACAGCAGCTGTGCTGCACACAGACGCCGCGGTGTGCACAAAAAATGTGATGTACAAAGGTGTTGTGGTGCACATGGTTATTCTGGTGTAGACAGCCGCCGTGGTGCACACACACACACACACACTCACACACCTATAACATTTCTGTAGCAGTTCCGGCGGGCGAAAGCACTGTGGTGTACAGATTCCGTGTTGTGTGCACAGACACTTTGGGTTTGGACGACGATATCGACGACGACGACAACGACGAGGCGCCTCGGGTGGTGTGCGCCGCGCCCCCCTTTTCTTTTGCCCCCCTCCCGCCCCCCCCCCAGCATCACATGCGATATCCCCCAGGAACAAAAAATGGTCCCAGTGTGTCGCAGATTGCGAGTGCAATGGTCCGTGTTGATACGCGAACGTGGGGATCTTGCTCGGTGCGAGAACCTAGGCCTTGAGTTCCCAGCGACGCGGTAAGTCTGTTGCGAGCGGGCCGCAGCGTTTTCACCCGATGCTACGAGCGGGGGTCGCAGCGTCTTCATCTGGCTTTCGTTCAGCCCGTAGCCACAATGCGATCAGAATGCCGCCTTCTCCGCCTCTTCCCGTTTCGGAGAATCATGCTTGCAGGAGACCAGCGTTTTGGTGGAGGTCCACAAATTCATCAAGAGGTTCCGCACCCCAGAGACGCAAGGCGAGCGGTCGACCTACCTGCAACAGCTGGACCCCGACCCGCCAAATCCTCTCGCCGCGTGCTACGACCTGGGCACGCCCCCTGCGCTCATGCGAATCGCCAGTCGTTCTCCCACCTCGCCTTCCCTGTCCTCCAACCACCCTTCCTGCCTGCACTCGCCTTCGCCGCGTTCCTCTTCCCCCTCCTCGTCGTCCTCCGTCTTCGTCTGCCCAGTTCTATATTGTGCCCGTTCTCCCTGTTTTCAGTGTCATGACCAACATCCTTATTCCCTCTTCTTCGTCCGCATCATTATTCTCGCCATCATTATTCGGAACCGTCCTTGGCAGAGGAGCTCAGGGGCGACGCCAAGTGCGTCCAGAAGTACCGCTAGGCAGAGGGGAAGGTCGGCGATCAGTAGTAAATGCGATGGCTCGGGCACGGCACGACGCTCACGCCTAGCGACATCCGAGGTCTTGGCTGGCGACGCGCGCCGAGGAGTGAATGGAGACATCGGCGAGTTGGTCGGCATGCACCGTGTCAAGACGTCACCGTCATGGCAGGACGCGATCGCGCCTGGACCCCTCGAGACGGGAAGAGCTCGCCAGGCGCAGCTCGGAAGCCTGCGGCTAGAGACATCATGATCGGTCACTTCCGCTTCAGTGAGGTCAGCAAGTCATAGCTGCCAGCCTTTCTTCAGGGTAGTTCGGTAGCACATCATGGGAGCCTTAGCGTCTGGGAGTCGATGAGATAGCGCCGATTTCGCGTCGGTCAGCGTCGGTTAGCCTCGATTAGCGTCGATTAGCGTCGATTCGCAAGAGCCGACAAGATGGTATGAGAGGCTCCCATGAGTTGCTGCCGAAAGTGAGGTCAGCAAGTCGTAGCTGCCAGCCTCTCTTCAGGGCAGTCTTGTCTCTGGATGAGCGCATGGTTTCGATCGTCCAGGCAGGCCCTCTTCAAGTCTGGCCTGCGGGGCTAGCGCCTCGAGGGAGGGCATGGCCGTGTAGCCTTGCGGTGGCCTCCGGGTTCCTGCTGGAGGACGCCTCGCGGCGCCCGTGGACCGAATTGCAGTCGGCCAGTTGCGATGTGTTGGCGGGACTTTCTCGCAGAGCATGTAGGGTAGAGTTGGGATCACATGACAGATGCGCGGTGTCTTGTCGTAGTGCACGCGGCGCTCCCTGTTCTGTCTGCTGCGCACCATGTAGCGTGTAGCTTTGAGCACCGCCTGCCCTCGGGGGCGCCGCTCCCGCAGAGCTGGCACGCAGGCTGAGAGCCGGAACCTGAGCCGGTTACGCTGCGTTGGGGTTGCGATCTGCCTTGCAGCGGCCAGGGCGGGCCCCTTCTCGGCGAGGCGCCAGAGCCACCCGCCTTGGGCCTGCTCTCACCCCAGCGCCGCGTGCGCACCCCGCCTGGGCCGCAGGGCCGCCCGGAGCTCCCGGCGATTCTCAGGAGGGGAAAAAACACACAGACACAATTGATCGTCGATTCCGCAGAAAATATCGGAAAATAAGGGAAGTGAGGGGAAGACAAAAACCTAGAAAGT